TCGGCTTCTGTCCTTAGCCCGGGATGCGGTGACGCCCCTGAACGACCATGGCAGCGGCGGAAGAGCTGGCCTTCCACGGTGAGTGCGGCCCTGCCATGTCCGGAGTCCCTCCTCCCGCGCCTGGCCGGAACCTCCCATGCATTGCCTAACTCGTACCTAACCCGAACCCCAGTCTGCTGCGAACCCGGATCTCAGAACGGAACCCTGACCTAGGAGTGAGCCTCACCCTTACCTCCAACCCGGCTTCCGTTCTGACCTCAGACCTCAAACCTGCTCCAGCCCCAGCCTACATTGTAGTCCCACGTTACGAGTGAGGGACCCCATCTCCATGTGCCCCCAATCCCAGCAAGTTAGATCCTGCCTAGGGGCACTGGAATGGCCACCGCAGAGCCTCAGCCCCTGGCCCCCATCCCCAGACATCCTTGTATCCCATAATCGCTCTCCATAGATTTCGAGGAAGCCACTAACCTTCTGGCTGAGACCCCAGATGCAGTCACCACCAGCAGAAGTGATCAGCTGACCTCCCAGGGACATGTGGCAGTGGCAATGGGCTCAGGTGGCAGCTATGGAGCAGAGAATGAGGTGGAGGAGGAGAGTGACAAGACCGCGGTGAGTCCCATCGGTCCCTCTGCCTGAGCCCCCCCAGCCCCCTGGCCAACCCAGGCTGGACGGGCGGCCACTGAACGCACGTGCTATGTAGCTCCTGCAGGAGGAGAAACAGCAGCCCGGATTCTGGACCTTCAGCTACTACCAGAGCTTCTTTGATGTGGACACTGCACAGGTCAGGCCCGGGAAGCCGGTGGGATGAGGCTCAGAGCCACACTTAGGGTGTAGCTGCCGTTCATTGAACACTTCCTGTGTCCAGGCCCTGGGCTGGGATCTGCGGAAAACTTTATGGAAGAGGGAGAACTCCTACCTAGCCTCAGAGAAGGTGGTGCCGTCCAATGATTATGGGGTGACCGGGGCTGTGGGAACACGAGGGACATGCATGACCTCGTGGGTGAGGAGGAGATTTCCTGGAGGAGGTGAGGGATTTGCTGAGACGGACAGGGTTCCCCGGGCAGAGTGGAGGGAAGCAGAAGTTTGTGGTGGGCCCAGGGAACAGCAGAAGACCATGACACCTCTGGGAGAAGGCATGACCTGTCATAGACGCTGCCTGTCACTCAGGGCAGATGGAGAACCTGGGGTGGGGGGCAGGCAGGCAGAAGCCAGCTCACAAGGGGTTTGGTGAGCTGTTAAGGAGTTGGAATGGGGCTTTTATTCCGAGGGTGCCAGGGAGCCATGGAAGGGTTTAGAGCAGGAGAGAAATGGGTGGACTGAGCAGACATGCACAGGGAACAGAACACAGGCCTCAGGCCGGGTGGGAGAGTAGTAACCTGAAGTCAAGGCTTCAGGGCAGGGGACGTTCTGGAGAAAGATGCGGGGAGAAAGATGCCCAGGATATGCCAATGGCCCTTCCTGATCTAGGTGGGGAGGTGGCAAAAAAGGCAGTCCAGGGACCAGCAGTTGGCGTAATGGCTATGTCGCTGGACTCCCATGTAATCGACTGCAGTTCAAGTCCTGGACCCGGTGACTTAAACTCACGCTGGGTATGTGTGCGTGCGTGTCCAAGATCCCAAGAGGAGAATGGAGGAGAAGGGATTGAGGCATGGCCATCTCCCCTGGGGAGTTTTATCTAGCTTTCTGGCTCTCTGGCGAGTGCACATGCCCTGTAGCAAAAACCTCTCCAAAAAAAAAAAAGACAGTCCAGGGGAGCTGAGCTGAGAGAAGGAAGCAAAAACGAAGACAAGAGGCCCTTTGGTGGGGAGCACCCCTCTAAGACAGGATGTTGAGTGCGAGTTGGCCAGGGCTTCAGGCCATGGGATCAGCCTGTGAAAAGACCACAGTGGAGGTGGACTGGCAGGTGGTGTGATGATTAAGGTGTTGGATTCCTACAAGGCCAACCGTGGTTAGAGTCACAGACCTGACAGCTTGCTTTCTTACTTTCCCTCTCTCTCTCTCTCTCTGTCTCTCTCAGTCTCTCTCAGTCTCTCGTCAAATGGTGCTGTAGTAAATAGGGAGCCGGCAGGTGGTGTGGTGGTTAAGGGTGCTGGACTCCCACGTGACTGACTGCAGTTTGAGTACCAGACCTGGCAGCTTGCTTTCTCACGGGTTCTTTCCCTCTCTATTGTTCAATCAAAATAAATAAAGTTAAATAAAAAAGAAAGAAAAAAATAAAGTAAGAAAATAAGTCAGATGGTGTGTATAATGTACCAAGCATGAATTAAGACTATCTTTAAGTGGTAGCTGTTATCATAAATGCCAAATATTTTCTCCAGATTTTGGGCATGCACACACATGCACCCGGTGTGACTTTCAGGCTGCCGGGCCCAGGATTTGAATCATGGTCAGTCATGTGGGAGTCCAGCACCATAACCAAGACACCACCTGCTGGTCCCAAAAGAATAATTCTTTTTTTTTTTTTTTTAAGAATTATTTTATTTAATTTTATTTTATCTCAACCAGAGAAGGACAGAGCAAGAGAGAGAAAGTGAGAAAGCTAGCCACCAGGTCCACGACTTGAACCATACTTGGCCATGTGGGAGTCCAGCGTCCTTAACCACTACGCCACCTGCCAGCCCCAAAAAGAAATAATTCTTTTTATTTTTTAGAGATTTTTGCTATAGGGCGCATGCACTCGCCAGAGAGAGACAGAGAGATAGAAAGCGAGAAATCACCCCCCAGGGGGGATGGCCACACCGCAATCCCTTCTCCATTCTCCTCTCAGGATCTTGGGCACGCACGCACATGCGCCCGGTGTGAGTTTAAGCCACTGGGTCTGGGACACGAACCACAGTCGACTACATGAGAGTCCAGCGACATAGCCATTATGCCAACTGCTGGTCCCAAGAAATAATTCTTTAAAAAAAAAAGACTGCAGTGGGGCTGGATGATGGCACAGCAACATTGTAATTGGACCCCATGGGAAGGGTCAGGATTTGCATCCCTGTGTGCGGCGTTCCCAGGCAGCTCGGACTGGGGTCGGATCGCACATGAAGACCCGGTTGGGGGAGCCTGTCCATCTCTTTTTGTTTTAAGAGATTTTTGAATAGGCCGCATGTGCTTGCAGGAGAGACAGAGAGAGACAGAAAGTGAGAAATCACCCCCCAGGGGGGATGGCCACGCCGCAATCCCTTCTCCTCCATTCTCCTCTCGGGATCTTGGGCACGCACGCACATGTGCCTGGTGTGAGTTTTAAATCGCCGAGTCCAGGATCCAAACCGTAGTCAGCTACGTGGGAATCCAGCGACGTAACCGTTATGCCATCTGCTGGTCCCATGTCTCTTGTCTGTTTCTCATGGAAAAAATAAACTTCAACAAAATTCCGGTGAGGCGAGGAGGTAGGAGCCCCGGACAGGCTCCCACCCTGAGCCAGACCTCCCTCCCCAGGTCCTGGACCGGATCAGAGGCTCCCTGCTGCCCCGTCCTGGTCATAACTTTGTCCGGCACCACCTGCGGAACCGGCCGGATCTGTACGGTGAGTGCGGTGGTGTGTCTCATCCATCCGATGATTCGTCCAACAGATGCGGACCGAGGGCCAGAACCTGGTGGAGAGCTGGGACAGATGGGTCCCTCACAGAGTGTGGCCGTCCCTTGCAGTTAGGGAGAGGCGACATGAGACTGGGATAGGAGACGAGATGGGGTGAAGACCCAGGATACCAAGGTGGTTTCAAGCTGGGCAGCACTGCCAGTCACGTGGGGCGCCAGGGAAGGCGCCTCTGAAGGAGGGGAGCGTATGAGTCTTGTTGGCATGGTAGGGTCCTAGGAGAAGGTTCCAGAAGGAGCCTTAGCCCCGGGCCAGGAACAGGTCTGAACTCTGCAGGCAGCACCGTCTTTGGAGCAGAGTTGAGGGAACCAATCATGCTGGCCTCCTATCCTGTGCTGAGGGGGCTTTGTGGTGGTTGTTGTAGAGATCTTTGCTATAGGGAGCATGCGCTTGCTGGAGAGACAGAGAGAAAGCAAGAGATCACCCCCCGGGGGATGGCCATGCCGCAATCCCTTCTCCCATTCTCCTCTCGGGATCTTGGGCACACACGCGTGTCGGCATGAATTTAAGCCTCCAGGTCTGGGACTTGAACCGCAGTGGACTGTGTGGGAGTCCAGCAACGTAACCATTATGCCATCTGCTGGTCCCCAAGGCTTTTTTTTTTTTTTTGGTAAGATTTTTACCATAGGGTGATTGTGCTCACTGGAGAGAGACAGAGACAAAGACAGGGAAAATGAGCAATCCTCCTTCCCAGGGGATGGGCCAGGCTGTAGTCCTTTCTCCTCCCAGGATGTTGGGGAGGAGGCAAACACACCCAGCATGATCTTTCAAGATGCTGGTTCCAGGACTTGAACTGTGCTCAGCCATGTGGGAGTCCAGTGCCCTTAACAGCCAGGCCATCCGCTGGTCCCAAGAAGGGGTATTAATTATTTTTTTGCCTTTCTTTCCTTTTCTTTCTTTTTTTTAAATAATTTTTGCCATAGGGCACCTGTGCTCACCAGAGAGGCAAAGTGAGAAAGCACCTCCCAGGGAAGATGATAATGCCGGAATCCCTCCTCCTCCATTCTGCCCTCAGGATTTTGGGCACACAAGCACACAGTGTGTTTTTCAATCCATAGGGGCCAGGACTCCAGCCACCTGGTCCAGATTTGAACCTCGGAGTTGCCCATGTGGAATCCATGCCACCTGCTGGACTGTTTGTTGTTATTATTTTAGTTGCCAGAGGGTGCGTGTGCTCACCAGAGAGAAACAGATGGAGGAAGCAGTCCCCAGGCAGGCATGGACGCACAATCCCTTCTCCATTCTCCCCTTGGGACTTTGGGCATCCACACACATGCACCTGGGTGAGCTTTTCAAACCAGTGGGGCCAGGATTCGAACCACAGCCAGCCATGTGGGATCCAGTTCTCTATGCAGAGGTCCTCACTGCGGACTTGGCCCATCTGGACAGGTTTGAGAGGAAGGAGGAAGTGGGGCTGGGGTGCTGCAGACACATGGAGACGCCCCCACGGGAACGCGAACGTGAGGGTGAGGACGGAGATCCAGACTCGCAGGCTTAGGGACCATCAGAGTAGAAGGGGCACAGAGCAGAGGCCGGCCAGGACCTCCCTGAGGCCCGTCAGTCAGAGAGGTCCAGTCTAGCGGTGCGGTCGGCAGCAAGCGGGGTTGCAGGGCTGGAGGCCACCGGGGTGACCACAGGTTTGCATCTGAAACACGCTAGGCACACGTGGGCGGGTTCAGGATCCTCACAGGCTAGCAGGCTGTGGGAAGAGGATCGTGGTGTGGCAAGACCCTCTTGTACATGTGTGCATGTGTCTCTGCTTTCCGTCACAACCAAAATAAACTTTAAACCTCAACAGGGGCTAGCAGGCGGCGTGGTGGTTAAGGGCAATGGACTCCCACATTGGCCAACCGTGGTTTGAGTCCTGGACCTGGCGGCTTGCTTTCTCGCACTCTGTCTCTCTCTCTGTCCCTCTCTGGTCAAATTTAAATGAATAAATATTTATTTATTTTTAAAGAATTTAATTTTATTTATTAATTCATTTATTTTAATTTGACCAGAGAGAGAGAGAGGGAGAGAAAGTGAGAAAGCAAGTCACCAGGTCCAGGACTTGAACCATGGTCATACATTTGGGAGTGTCCAGTGCCTTAACCACCACACCACCCACTGGTCCCCAAATAAATAAATTTAAACAAAATAATTCAAAAAGGAAAAAAAAAACACCTCAACATGCTGGGCCCAGCCCCATGTCCTAGTGTTTCAGGGAACTGAATCCCACATTGCTGACCATGGTTCAAATCCCAGCTCTGGTTGCTTGAAAACCATGCCAAGTGCGCGTATGTGTGCCCCAAATACCAACCGGATGGAGAAACGAAGGTTTGTCATGTGGCCACGCACCACTGGGGTGTACTTTTGCCCTCCCCCTTTGGTGAGTGCCCCACCCCTCTGACAGTTGCACATGGGAAAGGGGGCCAGGGGGTGTTAGAGAGGACTCACACAGAGGTTGAGGAACCGCCTGCAGGGAGATGAGGAGGGCCAGCTGATAGCATAGCGGTTAAGTCGCTGGACTCCTACATGGCAGCCTAAGGTTCAAGTCCTGAACTCAGTGGCTTGAAAATCACACCGGGCGTGTGTGCGTGCCCAAGATCCCAGGAGCAGGATGGAGGAGAAGGGGTTGCAGCATGGCGGTTCTCCCAGGGGCGCATTCTCTTTTCCTCTC